GCCATTCCTGAAAACCCCCTCTTTGACTCCTTGATCGACCGTTTTCATTTAAAATCGCGTAGTATTCCTCACTTCCCGCTGCCTCTCCCGCCATAACCCGCGCAATGCTATCTCTTCTAATTCCTATTTCTACTGATCTAATATTGAAACTAACTTCACCATTCACCTCGCAGATACCGAAAAAACCCATTGCATGCTTTATCCCACCCGATTCCATTAACTTCTCTTCCACCACCTCTGCCATAGCTAGAGCCCCACGCAACTTATTTCGTACTAACCTCTATTTCACTAACATTTTATCTAAAACTAACACAAAAATCAGAGTTGCCCTGGTCTAACACCCCATACTCCCTTCTTCACTCACCCGCTCCCACAAGGGAACGAGTGAGTTGCGCGTCTTTGGCTGCGCTCACTCGTTTTTCCCACCATACCTCCTTTACGAATGCACCTGGTGCAGGGCCCCGCCAGGTTCATTCCCCTTTTACCCTCCTTTGTTTTCACCCCTTGCGCCGCTACCTGCCTCAATCCGACAGCGCTCCGTTGCGTGGTCCTCCGCTCCCTCTCTGTGTTTCCCCGAATGGACCCGGTCCGACCCCGCGTCCCCGTTCATTCCCCTCTGTCTTTTGCCTTAGCGTTCGCCATGCTCCGCTGCGCTATCTGTTTGCCCCGCCGGCTCCGTCGGCTCCGTACCTCGAGACTAGCACCCGCGCCTGGCCTCACCCATCGGCGGACACGACACAGCGACCTGACGGGGAACTTTCGGAGGAACCAGCTATTAGCTGGTTCGATTAGCCTTTCGGGCTTATACCCGAAGTCCGACAAACAATTTGCACGTCAACAGCTCCAGCTATCCTGAGGGAAACTTCGGAGGGAACCAGCTACTAGACGGTTCAATTAGTCTTTCGCCCCTATACCCAAGCCCGACAGGTAGTCGGCGCGGCAGCATTGCTTTTGCCTGATCCCGCCGGATCTTACCTATTTGCTTCGCATGTACCTGCGGCAGAACCCCGGACAGGTTCATTCGCCGCAGTTTCAAGGTCTTTCGGCCTGTGTTTCGGACAATTTGCGGGTACACCTACTGCTCGTGACTTTGCTCACTACGGCGCCTAGCGCCCGTAGCGGCCCAGCCTTCTGTACATCATTCCACTTTTAACGGACGTCCCAAAAGACATAGTCTGGGTCACGGGGTCAATCAGCCCCGGCCCTCAGTCAATTCGGAATATTCAGCTTTTACTCATCAAGGTCCACTATCTAGGTTTGAACGTGGTCCGTATTTCAACAATTCAATGGTGCACCCAGTGAGCTAGGCTCTTGGGTGCCTGCTACACCCATGGCACCGCGCTCCGGGCCAAAACGGGGCCGCGCATAACAATAAAGGAAAAATAGATAGATAAAAAAAAAAAAAAAAAAACATAAAATATTATAAATAAGGGCCCCTATGCACGGTGCGGGGACGGCTAAAGCCCCACCCGTGGATCGGCCCCGGCGCTACGCCTCTCAACAAAAACCAGAGGGGGATAGCCTGTCAACCCTCGACCCCTCGGTTTTCTCTACACGCTCCATTGCAGTTGTTGCGCCGACGCCCGCCGACCTCGACCCCAGAACCTCCGTAGCAATAGTCTGATGTCGTAACCTATAGGGCTAAGCCCAAGACTGCGACCAAAACACGCCGAATGCCATATAAGGCGGTACGGCGCGGCGCTAAGGACCAGGGAAATTTACCTGAGTCTCATCTCCGCCTACAACCGTGCGCGCGGCCGCCTAGCGTCTGCGTTGACTTACMAAAGTTGTACCACAGCCGCCACTTGCGCTCCTCCGCGTGCCGAGACCTGCCACAGTCACACGGTCGTCGTTGCCGCCGTCGTCCTCGCACGCGCAACTCGCCTCATCCAGCACACCAATCATAAGGGAAATATCCCTAGTTCCTACTTACTCAAAAATAAATAAATAATAGTAATAATACCAAGCACAACGACCGAGGTCCGGGCCGGCTCTACGATCAATAACAGAAAAGAAATCACGCGCGCCCAAAACCTGCGCACCCTTACACTCGCTATTGTGGTCAACCACCCTGTCATGCAAATATAGACGCAGTCGTACTTAGCGCGGTATACTTAAACTCTAGACCAAAACTATTTTCTGTCACTTGCAAAAACCAGGGCGGATACCCTTGTAAGGGTATTCGCACCGACAGCTTACCGGACCATATTAAGCGACGTCCCCGTCGCTTCGCCAAATCAGAAAGCTATAAATCCATCCACACCTCAAATGCTGACGAAACAGGAGCCAATCCGATTAGCCGACAAACACAGGGTAGAGACCTCCATCAAACCATGCCTTCACAACTATATGCTGCCAGGTTTCTAACCTGAGCCTCTTACCGCCCAGAAATTAAGACGCTGACCGCATAAGTTCCAAAGACCTTCCCAATTGTCCTCTCCCCGGTCCTAGACAACCTTCGGGTTCTCGTTGGGTGTCCCTAGTCCGGGCAAAAACTAGGGGCGCGGGCCTTAATCAAGACCTTCGGAGGCACTCTCGCCTTTCTCCTCAAAAAAAAAATCTTTCGCAATCAAATTTACATAAGCATATATGTATACTTAATATCCGCTCAGCCCTTTCTGCAGTCTAGTACAGAAAGGCTAGGTCTCCACCTTGGCCCACCATAGCCTGGCTGATCGGACCAGGACTACGGCCCACCGTATTGTTATTTAACGGCAGTACCCTCATTGGTTACGCAACGATAGGCATCCAATCAGGATTCCTCCAAAAATTCTCAATCCTCACTATCCCGCGGAGTAATTTGACTGGGGCGGGAAACCCCCCTTAAACTCTTACCCACGCGGTCCCGCAGCCAGGTTGCGCCGGCTAGCAGCCATCCAATGGGGTTACGCCCTAGAGGTACTAACTTCTCTTCCATTAGCTTGGTCTTTCTTCAATATGTCTCAGAATTAGCACCGGTGGTTAGACGGGGGCGTCGCAAAACAAAATCACTGGCCAATTGCGCGATACGCAGGGGTCCGAAGGCATTTACCAGCCCTCCCTCAATAGGCATGGCATCCTTCGCACGCTTACAAACAAAATCACCGCTAAATCCACAAGGCCGTGACCCCTGACTTGATCAGAGCCAGCAACCATCCACCCTGAGACATCTCTCGCCAACGCACTCATTGCGACTTTCTCAAACATTCCAAAAAGTGGCCCTCTTTGTCAGACTTTATCACTCACCAGACATCTTACTATGTCATAAATCAGTTTACTCACCTTTGAAGGTGAGTCTCCCAACAATAAAAACATCCCCTTTTCCAAAAATCCAAGGGGCTCTCGTCATAAACAAAACACCCCCTCTTCCAAAAATCGCGAGGGGTCTCGCCACTGAACAAAGCACCCCCTCTACCAGGAATCACGAGGGGTCTCGCCATAAAATCAAGCTTCCCCTTCTCAAAACTCGAGGGGTTCTCATCATAACACACAACATCACAAAACATCCCCTTTGCCAAAATCCAAGGGGGCTTATCATAAACAAGATCACTGAGAGACCATCTTATGGGTCCTCATCACAACTTAAGTAGCCAACAATCAACATGGTAAGCATTTTGGGCCTCCAGGGCTCATAAACCTTCAAAATCCTCACAACCTTTCACAAACGGGTTGCGCTTCCTCCCCTTATACTCTGCCCTATCAACTGCCCGTGGGCAGGTCGTACAAGTATACCGAGGAGTAGACAGTTTTGCTTACAATCATATTCACAGTACCCATGGCTAAATAAGATGCTTTTCACACACTGTCCACACAAACCCACCATACATCAGAGTACAACCACACATGTGAGAGAAACAAGTGATCGTCACATATAAGAATGGTCCTTGAAATAAAACCTCATCATAATATACACTCAGGGAATAAAATGTCTCACCCAGAAAGTGTCTCCAAATCATAGTTCACTCAACTCAAGCCACACCAAACCCATACTGACAACAACCCCTAGAATACATGTCAGATCTGTCTCTCAAAGCCTGTCTGTAGGCCACCTAAATATATACATGCCTCATCTAAATTACCCTAGACTAGTAACAATCATCATAAAGGTCCTCTATGTCTAAGAGAGTATCACACAGAACCTAAGTTGATGCCTCACAAGATACCCGCCCACTTACATAGACAAACCGGCCCTACCTCCTCAACTCCTCCTGGTTTTGCCTATATAACTGAGCCCTAAGTCCATCTGCGGACTTCTCTACTATCCTACCCTGCCTATCATACATCTTACCTCCTGCCTCTGAGACCTTCCCTTCTGCCTTATCCTCAAGGAACTCGAGACAGTCAAAAGCCAGATGCACGCCCCTCTTGCAATAGAAGCATAGTTGATCAACCTTCCTCTTGAACTTCTTCTTCTTGGGCTGAGGAGGTGGCGATGAGGGAGATCCTTCCAAAGTACTGACAACCCCCTGCTGCTCTGATCGAGGAGTTGCGGTACTAACGACCTCCTGCTGCTCTATCCCAGGAGCTGGTCCCCCAGACCCAGATCCAGTGGCCCAAGATCTCAGTCTGCTCCTTAAATCCCATGTCGTTGGGACGTGCTCAGACGTGTCCAACCTCTGAGGTCTCCTCTCGAGTGTCTCTCCTGGCACTGCCATGGGCTGCTCCTCAATCTCCTCTTTTCTGCTCTCCCTTCTGGCGAATGGGCCTTTTCTGATGAAGGCAATGGGGTCTCCTCTCTCTGCAATCTCTCCCCTGCCTGGCGAGTGCTCCTTGGTGCATCCCCGAATCTCAAACCCACCGCTGGCATCTGTGGGGGTGTGTCCTTTCCAACCTCTATCACTTCCTTCCCTCCTTGGTGCATCCCCGAGTCTCAAACCCACCGCTGGCGTCTGTGGGGGCGTGTTCTCTCCAACCTCTATCACTTCCTTCCCTGCACGCCTCCCCTCATCGCCCTGCTCTCTCTCTCGCTGAGTATCCAAGACCTCCTCCCGTGGCACCTCCTCTCGTGGCACCTCCTCACGTGGTACCTCCTCCCGTGGTACCTCCTCCGCCTGCTCTCCATGCTCCTCACCCCGAGGCGACGCCCTCCACTGAGAGATATCCAAATGCGTCTCCAATTCCCTCAAGGGCCCCTCAGATGTTGGTGGCTCCTCCTGTGCGCGTGTTGGCGACCTCCTCAATCCACCCTCGGTAAACCGATGGAACTCCACTGGTCCCAACCCACACTCAGGGTATGCCCCTCGCTCCTGAGCGTCTGGCTCCGCTTCCGGTTCCTCCTCTCTCCTGACTAGGGTCTTCCGTCCTCCTCGAGACGGTCTCGCCTCCCTAGGCTCAGGGTTCCTCTGCCTTTGACTCCTCTGACGCCTCTCGACTCTGGGCTGAGGGGGCTCTGGTCGTCGAAAGGCCTCTCTCAGATGCGCCCTGCAACTCTCCCAGCTCTGGGCCATGTCCCTGACCTGCATAGCCGGTGCCCTCTCCGCCTTTCTGGTCCAGAGGGGTAACGTCCTCGCCCACTCATCTCTCGGTATACCCTGCCTCTGCATCAACCACTCGAAAGCAGGGATAAAGTCTGCGACATTTTCGATCTCTAGACGGATTGGCCTGCCATCTGGTCCCACAGGCGAGGGTCGCAACTCCTCCATCCTCATCTCCACCTCTTGCCTCGTCGTCGCCTCCCTACGAATCCTGACAATGGGTTCCTCAAACCTGCCTGTCCCCCTCAGTCTCTCGATTGCCAGGGTCACGGTCCAGCCCATACGCCTCGCATGCTCCCAGAAACTATCCAGGAATAGCTCGATGTCCCCATCATTGTACACCGGGGTACTCTCTCGATGGCGAGGCCCATGCCGCTCATATCCTCCTGATGCCCCCAACGGCCTCCGAGGCGGCCATGTCCCCTTCCCTCCTCTTGGCATGGCTGTCTTCGTAAAGTCAGACCTGCACAACAGGCGAAGGAGACAACAGGCATACATTGGGGTAAACAAACAGGTGATAATCAAAGCAAGCTCAGACCATATCACACTCATACAGCATGCATCCTACCTAACCTACACACCCTGCTACTTTTATTCTAAAGGCAGTCAGGTCATCTCTCTTACTTCTTCTCTCGCCACAAATTTCTTCAATCGCGTTCCAGATACCCAATCCTTTCACTCAGTCTCATTTAACTCCTCAATCTGGTATGCTCCGAAGTCTCCGACCCGTGCGATCCGGTAGGGACCTAACCACCTTTTATCGAGTTTCCTGGACCACTGCTTTTCCAGCGATGAATCGTAGAGAAGCACGACATCCCCAACCGCCAAGGGTACTTTCCTCACCCGCGCAAACTGATCCCATCGAGCCTTATCATCCATACGGTTTCTCGTCACCTGATCAGACGCCTCCTGGATCCTTTCTTCTATCGTCCCTATCTGCCGTGTCCGGATATGGAGCAATTCTTCAAATGGCAGGTTAACTTCCAGATYCTGGCGCCTCCATGTCTTAAGAAAGTTTTCGATAGGGAAGGTGGCGTGCCTTCCGTACCACAGCGTCGCAGGTGCGTACTTGGTGGATCTTTTTACTGTAATGTTATCGACAAAAAACGCCGCCCTTAGGTACCTTGGCCATTTATTAGGCCTACCTTCGGTCCACTTAGCCAGGAGACTCGTAATGGTACTATGTCCTCTCTCTACGGGAGCATTTGCCTGGGGGTGCGCGGTCGTGGTGTAGTTGGCTTCCACACCATACCTTGATAACAGTTCTTGCACCTCCTGACAGATAAACTCTGATCCCCTGTCCATTACGAATTCCCTGATGAAAGGATAACGCAGGTAGTATTCCTCGATGCAGCTCACTAAGACTAATTCGGTCTTGGTGCGAATAGCACGTCTGTCTACAAAGCCAGACAGGTTATCGCGCGCATCGAAGATATAGTTATAGCCTTGATCCCCAAGCGGCATAAAAAGTAGATCGAGATGCACTACAGCCCCCACCTCTCGCTCTAGCCTTGGATGCAACGGCTCTCCTTGCCTTAAACGGGATCTCTCCTGGCAGGGTACGCAAGATCGGTAGAACTTCCCGACCACGTCCATCATCCCATCCCAGTAGTACAACTCACTTATCTTGGCATACGTGGCTTGTACCCCTCGATGCCCTCCTGCAATGCCATCATGAAGCGATGCTACGACGTCGATCTGACGATTCCTACCGCATACGACTCTCCTGTGATTCCTCACTTCTCTTCTCACGAAAAGGTGGTCGTCTCGCACTAAATAGCGCTGCAACATCCTCTAAGCTCTATCGCTTGCATCCCTAAGCCGCATTTCACATGACAGAAGAAGCCCCAGTTCTAGGTAGATCCCATCGTACTCCTCTGCACGAAAAGTCTCCTTAAACTCCCCCTCCTCGAACACGTCGTTCTGGCTCTCGGGCACTTCGACCACATTCCCTGCCGGGTTCAACGAGCCTGAATGGTCGAGGCCTTCCTGCAATAACGTATTGACGAGGAGATACATTCCTCCCATCAGGTCCTCATGCCGTTCTACCTGGCCAGATCCTTCCTCAATCGACCTCACGTCCTCCACCAGGCTATGTAAGCTGGTCAGCGTTAACTCCATCATCCACTGAACATCCTTACCACCCCAGGGATCCTCTTCCTCAAAGGGCTTAAGGACTAGCTCATCCCTCCGTTCATACCCACTTGGCGCTTGCCAGATAGGATAGCCTACACAGTTGGGCACTCGCGGCGACCACTTGTTGATGTGAAGACGAACATCTTCTTCTTGATCCATAAATCCATCAACTGGGGGCGTATTTTCCACCGTCTCCCCTTCCTGTTTATCCCAGTTGATCCGACTCAGCCCGTCCGCCTGGTTGTTACTACCAGGGATCCGTTCCAATTCGAAATTGAACATCCAGATGTACGTCAGCCATTTGGCAACCGTCGGATCCGATGGAACATAATTCCTTAGAGAGTAGGCCAGGGCGGTTGGATCCACTCTCAAAATAAACCTCCTGCCGAAGATGTAGTTCCGGAAGGTTCGCAGGCAGTGGAGGACGACAAGGGTCTCCCTCTTGAACTGAGCGTAGTTCCTCTCGGTCGTACAGAGAGTCCGACTCTCAAATCTCAAAGGTCTTTCCTTTCCCTCTACGTCTGCCTGGATTAGAACTCCTCCTAAGGCAGTTGGCCCCGCATCTGTTTCGACAATGAAGAGTCGTGTTTCTGTGACATCATAATCTGGCGCTCCTAACACCAACCCTCCTTCTCGAAATTCCTCCTTCATTCTGGCCACCATCTCTTCCTGCTCTTCACCCCATACCCATTCCTGATCCTGACGTACTAACTTCCTCAGGTGTTCAGTCTTAATGGCGAAGTTTTTGACGAAGGCCCTCCAAAATCCACACGTACCAAGAAAGCTTCTGACATCAGTTATTGAGTGGAACGGAACTGGTCACTCAGTAATCTTGTCCGTCTTCTTCACATCCGACCTTCGGCCCTTCTCGCTGCAGACGAATCGCAAAATGGTCGTTTCCCTCATGCAGTGTCTGGATTTGGCCCCGCTTGCCGTGAGGTTATGCTCCTCGAGCAGGCTCAGGACTTTTTTGAGGTCCTGGATATGCTCCCAAACAAAGTGCCTTACCCCTGGCGAGACTTCGTCGCTCTCCTTCACTTCCAGCCCCTTCACTGCCAAATCGTCGATGTATGGCTGTATGATATGGGGGTTGACTGCTTACATAACCCGAATTATGGCCCGTTGGACCATTGCTACCGCATTGGTCCACCCTTGAGGGGTCACGTTCATGTGGATTAATCCTCGCGGCGTGTGCATAGCCGTCACTGGCCTATCCGGCGGGTTGACCGGAAACTGATCATATCCTGAGTTCAGGTCTATAAGCGAAATTATAGGCCTTCCAGCACAGGATTCCGACAAAGCATCCGCATTTGGCAGTCCACCAGCATCCCGCATGGTCACCGCATTTAACCTCTGCAGATCTTGCACCCATCGCAGCGTCCCGTTAGGCTTAATGAAGCAAAATCATGGGGACGTATACGGTCCACTAGAATAGTCGACGATGTGTGTATTTATCTTGCCGTCGAGGTAGTCCACCACCTTCTTTTCCTCGTCAGGATTAGGATATCGCGCCCCTCTCATGTTCCAAGGCTCGTGTGGCACGGTGTGGATGCGAGTCATAGGTATCTTGTCCACATCCAGCCTGCCGCGCTCCTCGTCGCTAAACGCATAGGCGCGATGCCTCCTCTTCATTTGTTCCACCATCAACGTTCGCTCCTGAGGCAGCAGGAAGTCGGGCTCCCCTATGATCAACTCCTCCTCGTTCCCTTCCTTGATACGACATGGCCCTGCTAAAGCACTTTCCCTCATTCGCCGCATCAACCCTCGTTCCCTCTCGTAATATGCTTCCTCGTCTTCTGTAACGAGGACGGGAACCGGGCGGCACTTCTTGTCTACCGTCTTGTACCGCCTTTGGGAACCCTGCTTGAGCCATCCCCTAAAAAAGGCCGACTCACAGATTGTGTTTGCGCTGATGCGGGGTGCCCTCCGCTGCCTGAGAGCCTATATACCAACTCCAACCTTCCTGCCTCGGGGCATTCCAGAACTTGCTCCCTCAAGGCCTGGATGGCATCCGGGTCTGCCATCTCATGCGCGGCCACCAAGTCCATGGCCTTCCCAACATCTGACAGGCTGAGGGAAAATGCTTCCACCCTCTCTCCTGCTTCGGGCTCTGCCCGGAGCCTCCGGCGCTCACCTTCCGACTCTTCAATCGTAAATGATCTTGGATTGCGCCGGTTACTTATACTCCTTGGCCCTGTGTTCCTGCAGGTAATTATCTCGTAATTCTCACAGGCAGGATCGCATAAGAGAAGGATTAGAGTCCCGTCATGTTTGTTGAACATCACGGTCTCCGTCCTGCTTAGGAATGACCTCCCCAGGAGGATTCCATGGTCCACGTCCGGCATTATGAAGAAGCATGCCCTGGCCTTCACCTTTCCAACCTCAATGAGTATATTCGAGGCTGTCCCGCAAAACACGGCCTTATAGCTGGCTCCATGCAGAATACCGCAGTCAGAACGGTCTATATCCAGCCCGAATCTGATCGCGTCCGCCTCCCGAATAATGTTCATCTCTGCCCCGGTGTCCACCATTGTTGCGCACTTGGAACCCTTCACCACCAAATCCACCGTGCCGCAGACTTCGCACTTCCAGTTCATCTTCGTACCTGACTTCGCCCGCTCTGCCTCCTTGGGCAGGATCGTACCCAGATGGACATTGGGCACCAGGCGCTGCGACAATCTCCCCTTCAGTTCATCGCAGAGTCGCGGGGCTGACGCTAGGATTTCCTTCAGGGTCATGAGGTCATTATGCCCTTCCAGCAGCCTGTCAATTACTCTCTCTACGTCAAATCCCTCTTCCAATCGAACCGCGTACTTCTTCTTTTTGGGTTGTCTGTCACGTACGACCGGTTCGGCCTCTCCCCTGGTTCCCTTTTTCCTTGCCCGCTGCTCCGCTCTCTGATCCTCCTCCCTGCGCAGCCTCTCGTCCTCTTCCTCCTCATTGTCGTCATCCTCTACTTCCACGGCCTCTTTCCTTTTCCCTGGTTCGGGTTCCCTCCTCGGAGGCTCTTGGCTGGCACTAGCCTTGGCTTGATTCCTCGTTCGCACTGCCTGTGTCAGCCGGGCCTGCGGAGTGAGGGGTCTCCCCATCATTCCCGATCGTGGGCACGACCCCACCACATTTACTCCGGGTCGCCCAGGCGCTGACTCCGGGCCGGAGTCATAGAGGAACACCTTGGGGATGTTAGACCTCCATCTCTTCGCTTCCTCACAGAGGCCCACCAACTTCTGTTGGTACCTCCCCATCTTATCCAGCAGGTCCTCCATCGTCCCAAATAAGACGGACGGAGGCTCCATCCTTTCCTCCTCATTCTCATCATCTGACTCAGTGATTATGGGTTCTTCCTTCTTACTTCCTCCTCGTAGCTCTTGAGTCACTTCCTCATCGCTCCCCACTTCCTCCACCCCAATCGGTGGTTCCCCCTTTTCCTGCCATAACCTGAATTCCTCTATCTCCACCGATGGTCCTTCCTTCTCCTGCCATAGCCTGAACATGGCAGGGGGTGGCGGCCCAGCTGCCGCTCTTCGTTGGGCTTCAGCCCTCACTCCTCCAAGCCTTCTGTCAATGGCCTCCCCAAACTGATCGTAGATATTCTCATCCATAGTGGAGGAAATCAGTCCGCTTCTCTCGTCTTCCCGCCTTATATTACAGAACTTTATAGTGTGGCCTTGCTGGTCACAATGTTGACAGATGGCCGTCCTCCAGTCAAAACGGGGTCTTCCATACCCCCGACTTCCCTGATCCCCTTGGCCTTGATACCCCTGGCCTTGGTACCCCTGGCCTTGATTCCCTTGGCCTTGGCTCCCTTGGCCTTGGTACCCCTGGCCTTGACCCCCTTGGCCTTGGTACCCCTGATCTTGACCATTCCATTGCCTTCCTCTTCTGCCGCCATTCCTGCCTCGACCCCTTCCTCCACCCCTCCCTCCGTTGCCTTGATTGCCCTGCCCCTGGTTCCCACCTCCTGCCACACTGCCCTGTGAACTGGGAGCAGGTGACGGCGGCGGGGCCATAGGTTGGGCCTGGGCTGCGGGGTAGATGGGTGGTGGCATACTTGTTTGCGGTCCGGCTACTGGCGGCAGGCTTCCCCATGGCACAATTGCATTGATCACCAGCCAGGGCCACTGTCCATAGGAGGGCGCCCCACCTTGCGAGGGGCCCGTACTAGATGATGGAGCCGCCAAATTAAAAGGGGCTCCTGCCTGGGTCTGAGGCGCCTGCGCTTTTCCTCATCCCTGTCCGCCCTGCGCCAAGTTACACACTTTCCGTTGGGCCTTTGTCAGGTGTTGTGGCACCGGCTCTTCCTCTTCCCAGAGTTCTTCCTCAACGGCCTCTTCTATCACCGGCTCCTTTCCTTTCATTTTGACAGTCGTCACTACCCTCCTTTGCACCACCGGCTTTGTTGCATACCCCAACTGTGCCAATACGTATGTAACAATCCTTGTTACTCCCGGGGTCCCAGAAGCGGTTGTATATCTTTCCTTTCTTTTCTGCCTTTGCAGGCGTACCTGACGTTGCCCCACCTGGTCCAAACACCCAACTTTCACCCCTCTGTCAACGGTGGCCCAGGTGAGCTTGGTGCTACCCCCTCCATGTCTCGTCAACTCGACGGCTTCCGACGCCGTGAGTAGCCCTAGGAAGATGGCGCACTGTGCTTCCTCTGAAATCCCATGGACCTTCCGCGCCCTCTTCTTAAATTCTTGAACAAAGGCCCCTATTGTCGTAAAATCCTCTTTGTTCATTGCCTCGAGGTCCGCAGTGGTCAACAGTCCATCTCCCAGGCGGTACTTCCTCTGCATTCCCTCCTTGAATCTTTCCCAGCTACCTTGGGCTGCATCTATAACTTTCTTCACTTCTTGGTGGTAGCTGTGGAGAACGTACTGGAGAATGCGCTGAAATTTTACAACATCCGACCGCCCGACCAGCGCTTGTTCCACCCGCTCCAGCCATTCTGAGACTCTCTCCCCACAAAAATGGAAGGTATCGACCTTGGGGATATTGCTCGGATTTCTTTCATGCCTGTCAATAGCAGCGATAAGGTCATCGAGCGTCAGGCCTTTCTTAGGAGCACCCGATGCGCCGCCAGTCTCAGGCATCTTGATAGCCTCTTCTTTTCAAGCTCCCTGATGAGAGAAAAAAACAAGCACATCCCCTTATTCAACATTATATCTTGACTAATTTATTCCACCTGCTTTACCTAACTCTTACTACATACTTTTACCCAACATTTAACACGGTCGGCCTATCATACTTCTCCTAGCTCACGTAGGTAAACTTTCTTACCTATACTCAGTCACTCATTACTTTTCCTCACTTTCTCGTCCTTCCTTTATGCCTTTTCTCACTCACTTCTCATACCCGGATGTCGTTCCACCAGGGACAACGGTAGGCTTTCCGTTATCCCCGGCAACGGCGCCACCTGTCGGACGCATCGGTCTTGCACCGCATCAGGGCAGCGCGGGACCCTCCCGGCCGCGTCACGCAGGAGTTGGTTTATAACCCTTCGTCTCAATATACATGGAGCTTCCACAAGCCGCTCCGGCCGAGTGCGTCAGTCATACCTCTCGCGAGCCCCTACGACAGGATAGGGCCTACGCGAGGCACGACTTACCTACACCTTACGGGAGTTGTCACCTCCCTTCGGTGGGCGTATCCCCGTCGGGCTACCAATCCACAGTATGAAAACTAATTAGTTGCAATCGCAGAGGTGGACCAGCCGAGGGCGTTTTCTCGTTCGCTGTAACATAGGGGGTACGCGCGGTAATACGCCTCTATGGGACCCACACGCGAACCGGCATCATGGGGGGCTGAAGTCCCAACCGCGGCTCGTCGTCGGTCGACTATGACGCATCCCACACACCACGCGCACACCACTTTACGAACACAAAAATAAAACATACACACGCACACGTACGAAACGACTCAACATAAACAACGCGACAACGCTCCTAGCCCCTCGGTAGCCGTCCCATAACTTTCCGATGCGAAATCGAATAGGCGTCGCGCGCGAGATTTAGGATAAAACCTCGAGGACGCAGGGCCTACTCATATCGACTCGCAATGCAAGCGTACGCAAGCAGTCGCAATGATGGCGTACTATGTAGTGCCCATGATCAAGCGGTCCCTCGTGGATCCGAGTACCGCTTATGACACTCAAGTGTCAGACTCGAAGTGTCGTGAAAGCCTAACCCTTCACGACATTGCACAGCTGAAGGATTAGTCGTGCAGCCGCCGCGGCACCTCCGGCTCTCGGTCTGGGTGGTTCGGTAGGCGAATCAAATAGGGTCTGCGCGAGGGAAAACCTCTCCCCTGCAGAGCCTAGGGCTTGGGATGTCCTGGACAAGGACCTCGAATCCCGGCCCAGGACCAAATGTCCGACTAAGAAAATCATCAAAAAGCAAGAACAAAAAAAATGGAAAGGGGGCCCTCCCCTAGGCCCCTCGTCTCGACTTCTGAGTAGGATTTTAGTATGGGGGCCCTTCAACCCATGCAAACATTCATCCCAAGTATACCCATGTATACATATATAAGGGTTAAGTATGTGATGATCACTTCTCACGCTCTCACTGGGGTCTCTCACAATAATACGTATATATGTGATCATAGGCAACCAAGTCCAGAATCTGATTCACAGCACATACCTGCAATCACATCAACAAACCAAATCAACAGCCCACACATTACACGGAGTCAACCCCAACCACCTTCGACACTCATACCCCTCGCTTTAGCCATGCAAGTCCCAAACCTCCTGTCCAACCAACCTTAATTAAATACTCAATACCTTTGTTAAATGGTCATCCAATAAAAGCCCGGGTGAAACCATAATGAAACAATAAAATTCACCAGGGCTAAAGCCTTTTAGGTTGAGTGAGGAGGGAGAGTTGAAATTGAGTCGTGGACCTTCGAATCGACAACCGACCTATTATCAGTGATAACAGAAAGTGATCCTCAAGGGATCAAAGCTGGATCTAGCCCTGAACTTGGATCAAATGATCAAAAAGACTTGTAACACACGACAGATCAATCCCCAAGCTAATATCATAAGTGTATGGAGAATACAACTCCATAATACATCCTTACTCAAAATCTCCCTATAAGTTAAACTTAAGTCTACTCTTAAACCAGTGCTTAAGCTAAAGGTAGACCAACTACGAAATCTCCTCTATTCCGGGCGCATCGCCTAAATCGCCACCGGTCAAAATATAGCCTATCTCCTCTAAACTAAGAAAATTTTGGCAACGCTTCCCGTAGGAAAAGTGTTTTTCCAGAATTTATATAAGCTCAAGTATGAACGCAGAAATAGTCTCTAATTCTGGAAAGTCAAATTCTGTCTAAATTTCTGAATTAGTAGAAATTTGGGCAGCACTCCCTTTAGAAAGGGAGACTTC